ATAATAGATTTCCAAACTTTCATAAAGACGAAGCTGATGCTGATAGTCAAATTTGATTAGGAATCTTATTTAAAGAATGGAATCCTGTTTTTAACGAAGAAATTAATTTTTTTCATTAAAGCATTAAAAAATAACTTGAAGGAGGCCAACGATACTAAAATTAGATATCGTTAAAATATAAACCAAATGAGCATTAAAAACGAACATTCTTCATTTCCTAACGTTAAGGGTTCATCTGAATTTTCATGGTGAATTCGAAAAATTATTTAATTTAATTTTAACCAGTTCAATTAACCTCAGTGAATAAAAATCTCTGTATTATCAAATTTATCAAATATTTATTGAATATCCATTTTTTTTGACAATCTTAGTAAGATCAATAGACCATTACCTTCGTCTTTAGAAGTTACAAATCGTCCCGTTGTATGCAGTACGTATTTGTGAACGATAATCTTGAGGTTTCATGACAATTGTATGACGTTTTGACTTTATCTATTAACTTAATACTTTTAATTAGTTCCCTATTTTACACAAATATTCATTATTTATCTCAAATATTATTAGAAAAAAATAAAATAAATATGTGCTTCGCTTCACGCGATATAACTGAATGTGTTGTGTTATTACGTTATGAAAGTAACTAGTAAACGATAAAATAATTGAAGAAATTGTATTTTGTTAACTTATGCACTCAAAATATTTTTTAAAAAAATAAATAATAAATAATTCCATTTAAAAATATATTTTAGAAAATCAACTATTATAAAATTAATAGAAATAATTTAAAAATAAAATTTGCATTTTCCAGAACTTTTTCATTTATTTTTTAACTTTCTCTTATCCAAATCAACCCATTCTTTAAATTTTTTGGGAATCACAACCCAATCGAAGGCTGAATTCCATTTTTCTACTTGCTTTGAATTTATGTTTCCTCATCAATATTATGAGTGTTGACACTTAAAGTAGTTGATTCATTAGACTTTAATAATAAATTAAGATCTATAAATTAAAAATTCAAGAATTTAAAATTTTGTAATTGTTATTGAAGAATTTTCCTGAAGATTTCCCAGATTTTATTTCTTCTAATAAATCACATCACGCTATCCATGAAGAATGCGAATAGATCGGCTAATATAACATATAACATGAAAGAGGATGTAACTTACGCGAATATGACAATAATAATAATTCTTGCTTTTGAGAATTTGATGTATTTTTTTTTTTCTAATTTTCATTTGAAGTTGTCGCGCAACGTTATCACACATTACCATCCGGCTTATTAAAATTTATATCATTTTCTAATTCGGCAGACACAAAGATCCATGTCCACTATATGTTTGACATCTTGAAATTTATCATCAGGTATCAATTGTATCTTTATAAAAAACCGTTTATTTGAGTTTCTTGAATAATCATATAGATGTCCTTTGGTGCACAACTCACAAATTCCGTTTAAGTTAATTTTATTTCTAAAATTACAATAACCGAAATCATTAGAAGAATGAATAAGAAACATGGTAGAATAAATATTGGGCATATCTGATATGGCCTAAATTATTTGTATATTTATTTATAGGCCTAAATAATTAATGATTATCCTAATAAAATCATTATTGTTTTATATCGACAATTTCATTAGTAATATTATTACTGTTGCTATTGCCAAAAACTCCTTGTAACTCTAGTAATTGTTTCGCTGTTTCTAATGTCATATTAAATTATGATCACGTCGTTATATATATTTGACGTCCTTCTTGTGGCTTAAAGAAGTTAAAAAATAAAAGAAATAGAAAATTTTTGGAACTCAAACCAAATATTAATATTTTCTTATTTCTTTTTAGTTTATACGTGTATTTATTTAATATTATTATCAGTTTTAATTTGTAAATTATATGGGAATTCATTTATAATTAAAAACAATTTATTTTTTTAAAAAATATTTCGATTATTTAGATATATGTTATTAAATACTTATAAAAAATGTCGTGTTAGAATTTTTTACGATGATATTACTCTGAATTGTGCTTAACTGCCAACGAAATACAATTTCTTCTATTATTCTATCGCATATCTGAAATGAATTAATCCCATGATTTATAAATTATCATCATTTCGGTGAAGTTGCGGCGTCTTTTTTTGAGAAGATTTTCGTGACCGAAATGGAAAAGAATTATATAATAGTAATCGATCCTGATACCATTTGAAGAAGAATCCTCCACCCGCCCACCTAAAGAATAGCAGGCATTTATATAATTTTTGAATATTTTTACAGCTTATAAAAATAAATAAAAATAGTACGATCGTCACATGCAATTAAACTTTATTTATTTTTGTGATAAAAAAACTTGATTTTAACTATTTTTATTTATAAAAATAATTATGTGATAATAACAAGTGAGAAAAAAAATATATGTTTGATGCTTGTGCAATTGAACTGGAGCATTTAATTGTTAATTTCAACAAAGAAAGAGTCAAAGAACTTTGACACGTCTATTCAATTAATAAGGACGAACACTTTATTGTGTCGTATGATTATAATTATTAGACAAGTAATGTTATTTATTTATCTGTTTATAGTAACAAATAATACACATAAGAAGAGCATTTTTCTTTTGTACATTTTTATAGTAATTTCGGATTTAGATTTATATGCAATTTCATTAATTTAATTTGGTTGAAAATTTTACTCAAATTGATTATTCTTATTTAGAAAGTGTCAGCGACATCATATTTTTACAGAAGTTCATGACACGAATATAACAATAGGCAAGGAATTTGGTATAATGAAGGAAACATTAAATCTAGCGATCAGTGTGGGAAGAGTAGATGAATTTAACAAAAGATTTATTAATTATGAAGATTTTGCTAGTAACCAAGGACTCTAATTTCAGCTAACCAAAAAAGGAATGCATTGTAGGTATATTTTGATTTCTGAATAATTTGACATCTCATAATGCATGTGTCTTTCTAATTTAAGAATTTTTCAGTCAAAAAATTTGTGAATTAGAGAAATACTTATTAAACAAAATTGATTATGAATATGATGTTTATTGTTTAACAATTGTATGTATGTATATGTGCAGAAAGTTAAGCTTATTTAATGAAAGCGGAATTTATCTGCAATAATATAATTATATTATTTCAAAAGATCTTTATTTCTCTGCTGTTCTATTTCCGAGAATATTTTTTAACTTCACAAACTTAACATTGATTATTGGAAAAAATAAGAATTAAACAATTTTTCACTCCAATACTATCTGTTAAATTATAAATAAGTAAATGAAAAAATATATGCCAAAACTTTTAATTCTTTTCTTAGATTATCATCATATGTGATATAGTATCGTGAATATCAATTTTTTTTTTATAAATTATATAATAAAACATTAAAATGAAAAATAAATCATTTTTTTTTTGTTTTGTATATTTTTTGATAAATAAACTTTATAAAATAAAATAATTGATAACAAATATATATATATATGAAAATAATAAAATACAAAGTTTAATAACAATAATATATTATTAATTAAAAAATATAATTACGTAATACAATAATGAAATATTATTAATTACCACATGATTTATTGGAATTATCATTTTTCGTTCAATTTCTATAAAATTTAATTAATTAAACCTCATAATTAAATTTCGAAATAAATCTAATATACAATAAAAAAATAATTTTACCTTCGGAAATTTTCCAAATCAAATTGATCAGAATCAAATGCTGAATGTAAAAACACGTATATTATTTTAATATAGAGTTTTCATATAGATTGAGTGATAAAGATGAAAAAATTAATTAAAAATAATCAATGAAATATAAAATAAGTTAATAAAAAAAAAGGATAAAATTTTTAAAATATATTTACCATCAATGACGTTCCTAGGTGGAAATAAAATCAAATAAATACATTAAAAATAAAATCAATAAAAAAATCTTATACAAGTAAAGGGTGGGGGCTAAACCTATTATCCCAAACCTCCCAAATCTCCTAAACTATCCTAAACCATCCTAAACCATCCTAAACCTCCTAAACTACCATAAACCTCCTAAACTTTCCTAAATTAAATTAATCACATCTAGCATGTATGTACGTGATTGGTTTATAACCAGATGTATTTAAATGAATTTTAACGTTAAATAATATTTCCCTAGTTAATTATTAATAAAATCGAATAATTAGAACATGAGTTATAAAATGAATATGTAGATTCGTTAGAATATTGAAATTTTCAAAATAACGAAATATCCATAATAATTTTTTTTTTTTTTTTAGTCTTGAGAAAAATAAAAATATGATCAATGATAAATAATAGTTTTAATTTGCAATTTCGTACAAAAAAAAAGTCACTCGGATGATTTTTTCTTGCGATATCTTTTGATATTCTTTGTTTCATTTCATTTTCTTTGACATAATTAATAAGATACAATAAATTCAAGTAAGAAATACTTGAATACTGTTATATATGTTTATTACAAGTAAATCAAATGTTTCTGACTATTCGATATTTCTTTTCTTTTCTTTTCTAAAATAATTTGATTGACAATTAGTTTTGTGAATAATGTCAAACATAATTGCATCTTTAAATCCTCTAAAAACTTAAGGAATTTTTTTTTAACTAGTGCCATTTTTGCTAATTCATTGGGCTTGACATAAAATGACACCGAGATTGAGAAATTCTTACTCGCGACTAGAAAATCTATTTATAACAAAGTATCAATAAATATCTTGTAGCAGCATTTGGAGAAGTATCTTCGCATCAGAAACTTTTTATTCACTCTCTTTTATAAGTAAGGTTATATAGAAGATAGATAGCACATCATTCTTACTGAAATTTCAGGAAGTTCGGATTTTGCACAACAAAATTGAGATTTATTTAAAGGAAATATTTTTAATGATGGTTTCAGTAGTTCAAGCAGCCTGTAATTATGGGTTATTAATAATTTTTTCGTTCAAAAAAAAAAATATCACGACTATTATCTTTCTTCCAGGTGATCATTTTAATTTATTGATTTAATTTTTTTTTTTTTTACAAGTTTATTATGAGAGCATAAATAATTGGACCATATATTACGGTATATATAGTTAGTTTATTAATGTAAGAAAGAATTCGTACGTATTTCTATTCTTGGTATCAAGAATTAATAGAATATAATATAATTGAATTTTTATTATTAAGATAACACAGTCAATATACTCTTTTTACTTTATATGCAGTATATTCTTATATATAAAAATATTTGTAGTAATATTATTTAAGATATCATTTAAAAATCATCGTATGGCAGATAAATGGTAGTAACCTTTGAGTAAAACAATGTATTCTTATTGTTATTAAAAAAAGAATAAAAAATTACGACCAAATAATATTAAAAAAAAAATGAAAAAAAAAATTGTTATTAATCTCCAAAATAATTCCAAAATATTTCTATTATCATTTTGTGGAAGAGAATATAGGGATATTATATCTGTATTAATATTATTTTTTATCTATTTATTTCATATTTTAAAATTCAATCGTAAAAATATTCAAGAGCATAATTTTCAAGGTAAAAAATAACCAATAAAAATATGATGGTTGAAAAGAAAAGAGAGAAAATAAACAATAAATGGGATGACATCTTTTTTTTTTTTTTTTTTTTTAATAAATAATATTATTATTAAAATTAATAAGCTATACAGGTTAAAGAAAGCAAATCACACAAATAAATAATTTCTTCTTCGATTATGTTCTTTTTAAAAAATGTTAAAAGAGAGAAATTAATTAATTAATTAAATGAAGAAAAATGAAGAAAAAAAAAACGAAAAAAAACGAAAAACTACTAGAAATGACAAAATTGCGGCTTGTCGCGATATCTTATGCAAAATTATATTTATGTATATATGTATAAGCCCGTTCTTGATGGTTGTGGCAGTATCTTCACATTTCCCTAATGATGATGTGTTGATAACGAAGCCATTTTTTTTAAGCCATGATCAAAAAAAAAATTTTTACATAATATGGCGCAATTTAAATTTGAAATTTTTTTTTTTGAGAATTTAATCAGGCATTTATTTGAATTCAATAATGAAGTATGATAAAATGAAATGAAATGATCCAAATAACAAATCAAAATAAGGAGAAATATTCATTCATTAAAAAAAAATTCCAGAAATTTCAAATTATTTATATAAAAACTTTCGATATAAATTTTGTATTGGAATATAATAAACGTAATAGTAAAAATAGAATTATAAAAATAGGTTCAAGTTTTATTTGTTTATATTTATTTTCAAATTATGTTTGTTTCCACATATATATATAAGAAAATGGATTCCCAGGAAATATGAAAAACTTGCTGGATTCAACCCGCAATTTTTTTAATTGTTAACATAACACAACACGCAAAAAAAAAAACAAAAAAAATTTTTTTGATTATGTGAATATTTCTGGTAAAGCCTCGATCATTGTGGAATTTAAATTTTACACGGTATATCATATCACGTAATATACTAATACTCAATGTAACTATTATAACTTTATGATGATGACGATAATAATATATTATTATTATATTTTGTGAAGAAAATATTATATAAATACACCGAAGAGGCTTTTTCTTTTTCATTTGTTTTTTTTTTTTTAAAAAAAAACCACCGCAAAAAAAAAAAAAATACTTATAAAAAAAAAACTTATCCTCACCGTGCCTTTTTGCTTATAATAA